GGGAGCGCTCCTGAGGCACCCCTGGCTCCCTTGACACAGGTGCTCGTCGCTGTGAGCGAACGAGCCGGTTGTTTCGGAGCTGGCCAGCTGATGAATCGGCCTGCGCAGGTGCTGCTCCTGCGGGCAACGTCTTAATCTCCGGAAAAAACACGGTTATTGTAGGTGTAGTCTCAGTTTGTGGGCGCTTCGGGGGGATCTGACTTTCAGGGAAGAAGCGAGCGTACGTGGTGAGGCAAGGTTCCCGGAGGAGCTGAGGGGCCTCGGTCGCCGGTCGGTTCCTCTGAAGCTGTCTGCAATTAGGGATGCTCCCGGCCTGACACTCACCGCAGTAACCGCGGTAATTGGTGTCAATTAGCACTTTTTTTTTCTGGCTAGAGCAAATCTCTCGAGATCATTTATGGTATAGTGTTATGAAGTTTCTTTTTAAGCAGCTGTTTTCTGTCTCATACAGAAGACTTTGAATTTTCTGGGCTTTATGCTAGCATCTCAAACGTACAGAATTAGCGGAAATAAGAACACCATGGCTGTGAGAATCTAAAATTGCATGTAGCTACGGCTTTGAGAAAAATGCTGTGTATATCTTCACTAATATCCTATTCTGGTGTGGAAGACTGCTGGCACACAGAACAAGAATAATTTGCTGTTTAAAAAACTGGATGCACACAGTATAATTTTATTGTATAGAAATTATTAAAGATGGGGGCCCTAGGTAGGGAAGGCACTTGATCTAACTTGTGGCGTTAGAAAATGAAGGGAAAGGGCAGATTAAAACCTGGGTGTTCTAGACTGCATGCTGCTTTAAACTGTGTCACTGTGTGCAAATATCCCTCATCTTGGGAGCAGAGATGTCTTGTGCCTCCTGAGAGCCTTGTCTGCATGAAGTTTGATCACGTCTTTTGTAGCTTCTCTGGTGTCTGAGCCTATGGCTGAGCTCACACTGCCAGAATGGACTTCCCTTCTCCAGCTCCTCTGAAACCTCTGAGAGCGTAGTACATTTCAGACATCAGCTGCTCTAATTCGCTTGCACCCAAAGGTTTGGGAGTTATTTGGGGAAGGGGGATTACAGGTAGACAAACAGCATGATTGCATAAGCTGTGCTTCCTTTGGAGACCCAGCTTAACAGGTCTTGTGATAATAAATAGACTTTCTCTGCCTGGCACACCTCTGTTCTATGTACTTTAAAATACGATATAAAACATGTATTTGTACTTGGTGGTGTTGATAGACACAGAGTAATTTTTATGCCAGGCTGCAACTATATGCTGCGCTTGCCTCTGGGAATGGTGCTGCAGAGGCAGTTGCCTCTTCAGAATTTCTTGAAGTGATACCTTTTATCTAAACAACTTAGTGTGAAATATTAAAACTTTTGTTAAATCACTGGAGCACTTCAGCTTTTTAAGTGCCACTTTGGAATTCTGCACTGATCTAATTTCAAGTCACCTGTTCTAGCACCTGAAGTACCAGACAGCCCTTTCACTCCTGACCGCAGTCCTGCTTTCCGTTCGAAGTTGTGCTTAAGCAAACAATGAGCCACTACTAATAAGCTGTATGTACAAGAGCCTGAATGTGGTGGAGGAAGCTGCTGCTTGATTATGTCCCCCACCTGAGTCTTGGTGACCTGGAAGGGAGTTCTCATGAATATTTCTTTTACATCTGTTCTCATAAATCTGTTTAAAGAAAAAACACTTGAATTCTGAAGTGCTTGAGAAATCAGCCATCAGATATTAAGCTTCTGATAAACAGTCAGCATGGACTGCTGTGAGACTAGTGCAAAAACCCCTATAACTGTACCCTGAGACTTTGGTCGTATTTTATTTCCTAATCTGATACTTTGTCCAATCTAAATATAAAGATTCCTGCATGCATAGGTCAGTGGTATCTGTGTTGTGTGCGAAATTCTAAAGAATTAGGTTTGAAGTGTCTAACATAAGTGAAATGGGGCTGAGAGTTTACTTTCTCTGTTTTATACAGACCTGACAATGTTGTGATTACTCAGCAGTTAATCTTCAATGGTTGCTGGTGAGAAGGGTGGTGTTGGAGAGGTGTGGGCAATGAATTGTATAGTTAAGTGCTGCTCTTAACACTGTGACTAACTTTGCAATTAGCCTCGTGTTTCAGATAGTGGGGCCAGATGCTTCATTCTAGGGGCAATTTGAAGTAAGCATGTACAAATACTGAAGTGTCCTGAACGGAGAATGTAAACCAGGTAGGGTCATTGGTTTCAGGAGTATCTGCTGGTGTCAGTCCTATGTAGAAGATGGTGCTGAACAGGCCCCCTCTAATCCGCGGGAGGACCAGTGCAGTTGGCTAAGCCTTGAGCAGGCTCTGGCCAGGCTCTAGGCTAGTAAGGTGGGTGCAGCTCAGGGCTCAACAGTTGATTTAATCTCAGACTGATGCAGAAAAACAACGGTAAAAATAACACTTCTTACTTTTATGGGAAGACTGCATTGTGCCCAAGTGTTGCGCAATTTTCTATGTACTTATCTCAACAGGGTATTATGACAGTAAAACTGTGTTCCTACATTATGGATGCAGAACTGAAGCACTGAGGACTGAGGCCTGGTGTCTCAAAAAATGTTGAGGAGTCTTAGTCCTGCTGGTAGAAATGGGAGGTGAGGGATCAAATACCTCTACGGATCGATGCCTGGTGAAATGCCAGAGATTAGAGAGAGCTTGTGGCTGACCAGGGAATTTAATTCTGCTCTCAAATCCCAAAGTAACACTCTGTAGACTGAAGATTCAGGGTTTGAAAATGAGCCACCTGGATCCTTAAAGTTCTGAAGTGTGCTATTTTTGCTCATTTAAGAAAAAAGTTGATATCTGACTGTGTGCACCACTTTAACCTAGTGCAAAACTGCATGAATAAATAAAAGTTTCAGGCTGAGAGCTTTGTTTTTTCCTGTGAAAAAAAAGGAGGTGGTGGTGCAGTGGAGTGTCCAGAATGATCGCCATACTGCTTTAGGCTTCACTTCTGTCACTGACACAAAGAAACTGTGCTGGAACCTCACCAGAACCTGGGCAAGCAAATCTACAAGTAAAGTCTTGATTGCCTCTAATTCAGTAGTTGGACAGAGCTGTGTTGCAAAACACCACAAGCTGTGCGGTAACCATTTTAGGCATCCATAATGATCATACTCAAATGCTATGAGGCTCTTATCTGATGTTTTTAATGCTGCTTTGTCTTGCCTGGAGAAGACCTTACTTGTATGTTCGTGTGCTGTCTAAATAGCTGTTACAGACTAGTGAATGGGATACTGAAAAACCATGCTGGTAGAAAGGAGACTATCTTTCAGGAGCTAAGGAATGTGATGTGCTACCTGTGGTATCAGGGAATGAGAAATAGGATTGGAGCCAATGGCTGTTCACATCCATCGGCTTTTACATCCATCAGGATATCAGTGTTCTTCATTGAGTCATGAAAATTACTTCTAGAAGTGTAAAAAGCAGATTTCAAGATCTTGTTTTGCTTAGCTGTCCATCATGTAAAAGGAAATTGAAAGGATGAGATCCCAGCTGAAGCGTGGCTTTTAAATTGCATACATGACATGAAAACCTAATCTTGTTTCAGACAGTGGCAGGATCAGATGGGTAAAATGGATGCTTTGATCTCTCAGACTAAGAAGGAGAAAGGGTTGGGTGTTTTTTTTCCTTGCTTTCCTATGCACGGGGCAACTGGGAGGAGGCAAATGTGTGTGGCTATGACATGGACAGGCTTGTAGGGGAGTGCACAAATCCATAGATAAGCATGCCTTGCCATATGGGTCTATGCAATCTCATGTATCTGCCCATGTCACTCGCACATGTACAGCCTTCCTGGCTAATAAGAATTTGAGATTATTTTTTAATAAGCAACTTGGGGTACTTTCTTTAATTGTTGCAGGGTTTGTAATGTGAATCTACTGGAAGCCTCTGTCTTGTCAATTGATTATTTTTTTTTTTTCTAATGGGATGGTTGCTCGTCTTCAGATGCAATTTATAATTATTAAATAATATCAGCTTTACTCCTTTCTCTGTGAAAATAGATTCTCTTTGAAATAGATTGTAGGTGAGGTGTGGAGCTTGTTCTTAAGCAGTCTGATCACCCTCATGGGCTATACCCTTGCATTGCTTTTGGCAGATACAGATGGCCCTATAGCATTTTCACAACCGTAAATATTTTTGGTGGTTTCTCATCTGTTGCCTTTCAGTAAGTTCTGGCAGGTAGTGCTAGCATATCTCTAGATGTTCTTGGCTTTAATGCGTGAGTGTGAAATATGTACTTGATTGTAAATTCAAATTGTTAAAGAAGATATTTGGATGGTACGTTGGGTCTTTAAGCTGGGAAAGCGTTGGGATTTTTTTGAAATCTGTTTTAATGTGCTGATGCGTTCCTGCAAGGAGTTCTGGGGAGCTGTCCATGGCCACAGGCTCAGCTGACTAGTTCCTGCATTGGAAGGGGTCTGCTCTGGGATTTGGAGTGGGGAAGAAAGGGAGAGATGAGCTCATGAACTGCCCGTCTCGGGGTTTAGAGCCCTTCCTGGGCCTGCTGGAAAAGGGACTTGAAACAGCAGTTTAAGCTGGGCAGAAGTCTCTGGCTATTTTGGTGGGTCTTGTGTGGATATAGACGGGTTGAGGCATCTTTTCCCTTGAAAACAACCTAGCTTTTGTTCCAATGAGGAGCAAAGAGAGAGAAGTAAAAGCTTTGAGGGTTTGGGTGTTTTTTTTGTGATAAGCTTGGCTGGCAGATCGCTCTGTAAGACTACCAATCTAGCAAAAATGTGCTTTATGCTCTGAAAAGGTTATGCTCTCTAAAATGCTTTATTTCTTGCATTTTGAGAATTTAGATTGTGAAATAGTTGTATCTTACTATATGTTGTAGTTTTATCTTACTGTGTGTTGTTTCTTTTCTTCCAGTGAAGCCGAAAGGCTGGAATTAGAAAGAAAACTGGTGGAATACAGAAAGTCTGATGAATACCTGTAAGCCTACTTTAAAGCTTCTTATGGGTTATTTTATTTTAGTTACAAAGGCTTAGGTATCATGGAATGCTTTTAGAATGTTATTTTGAAGGCTTTTTTGTACCAATAAATTTATATTCATATATTAAGTATAATGCAAGATTCACGTCTCTAAGTTATTGATGAAGTAACTTCACTAATAACTACTATTAATACTAAAAATTTATTATAGTAGTTAGTAATAAATAACGTGCAAGTTGGTTTTATGCGACTTACAAAATCACTGTAGCATAGTTCATGCTAGAAGTCCTAGGGTCTTAGAAAGTCTGAAAGTTTTAGGAAGTCCTAAAGGATATTCTAGGTTATGGTTCTGCATTATCTGTTTAATGTAAATTGCATATACAGTCTGTACAAAAAAACCCCAACCCTAAACCACAAACCAGAACAAAAAAACCTCCAATAACAAAAGAGGACTGAAAAGTCTCATCTGGTGTTCCTTTCCTCAGATGTGTTTTGTAAAGCTCAGAGGTACCTTTTCTATCTTGGCTCAAGGGACTGAGGGCTAGATGTGATAATGGTCAAGCCTTTAGGAACTCCTCTTCTGAAAGAAGGCCTTTAGATTAGAAAATGAAGATGTAAATTAAAGAAAAAAAATGCCTGAAAAGGCTGGGAAACATCATGTGTACTGTTTTCTGTCTTGATTTATTTTAATCTAATGGGTTTTGAACTGAGGTTTCTCTGAAAATATTGGCAGCTTAGGGGATTTAGGTCGCAATTTCACAACTGATTTAAGTAGACCCGGAGGCAGACTGAGACCAAAAGATGGTCCTGACTGCCCCTTCTTCACATTTTCCTGTTGTTGGCACTAATGCTTGTGTGGCTGCCCTGTAATCGGATAAGAAAATAGGTCTGGCTGAAAGTGAATCTGTTTTTTGGGTGGGTGAGAACTGGTTTAGATGGATTTTTAGCTGGATTTCTCTTGGCCTAATTTGCCATGTGGCCATGTAGCAGATAGTATTGGCACAAAAAAGAAAGGCTTGGCATGAGATGTCCCTTTTGGTGGCAGCATGGATTTAGGTTGGCTTAAAGTTGTTGTGAAACCACAGCCTTAATGTTACAATTTGTATGACTTTCAGAGCACGTTCTTCTAAATCCCATTTTCATTTTGATTTAATGTGATAGAAGTGGCTAAAACATAATCCATTTAAAAGTACAAGAGTTTTTTAACATACTTATCCTTTTGAACGCCAAACCCCCTGTTTAAATAAGAAGTTATATAGTGGGCATCCTGTCAGTTGTGTAATGTAGCTTTGGACAGTTGTGCAGACAAATGTGTCTGCTCCTTTTGGGAGGGGTGGGGGGCAGCTCCTTCGTAAGTGTTAGTATATAGGTGTCTGAAGAAAAGTGATTGCAATAGATGTGTTTAATTTCATACTCTAAGTACACTTTCTTTTTTCCCCATGTAGAATGAAGCTAAAATACATGAAGCTGAAAAAATACTTGAAAGAAATAGATGAACGACAGAAAGGAGCTATTCTGCGAAACCAGACCTTTTTAAAGGAATTCGACCAATTTGAAGCTCATATGATAGCTTCAACTTCAGAGATAATTCAGAAGATGGAAGTAACTTTCTATAAGACTTAATATGTTAGTGTTAACTGTTATTACAGGGTTGCTAAATTGGTTTTGTCTGAGTATTATGCACATCAAGACTTCAGATGTTAGTGAAACCTCTTCATATGTTTTGGAGTGCTTAAAGTGGTGATGTTTGGGAATTTGAAATGAACCCAAATTCTGCTGCTGTATGATGTCATAGACCCTACTGCAGCTACAGAGGTGGTCAGCAACACTTGACGTAACTCCATGTTTGGTCTACAGTAAAGTGCCCTGTGCTTCTGAGTCCCTTGGAAGCAAGGGAGAGCTGAGATCAAAAGAAGTGTGGAAACAGATCATGTGTTTGAAGTCTTAGTGATAAGATAATAAACCAGTGGTATCTAGGTTGGGACAAAAAGAAGACTTGAGTTGTAATATTTTCATAAAGGCTTTGTTATAAAACTGTATTGCAGTAGGGGTTTTATTACCTAAAAGTACCCACATATACTTCATGGAAGTTGTTTCAGGATGTATTCTTAATTTTGCTGGTCCAAACACTTGAAGTACCCATAGTTAGTCTTGCCTCTGCTTATTGCTCTGTCTTCATCAGCAGAGGAAGTGTAAGAGTAAATAAATTCCGTTACAACAAATTTTGGTGTTTGAACTATCCGGACTAAAGCTGAGCTAAAATGAGGTCACGCTTAGTTCTATCAGTAAACAGTCAGCTAGCAATACTTGAACAGCGGTAAGAAAAAAACCTGCTTTTTTCCAATATCCCATTGCATCATTCGGATCCTTGCTTTTGGTAACATTTTTGCATGTACTTACTCAGAGAGATTTGATTCATGTGCCTTCACAGCTGGAAATTTTGAACTTTCTTTTCAAGCTGGTACAGTAAAACCCAAGGAGCGTTTCATCACCTTGTTTACTTGAATTGTGCGTCGTAACTGATATGGTAGGAGAGTGGTAGGCCAAATGACTACTTTAAAAGAGCCAATACCCAATAGAATATACTTCTTGCTGTCTTTGTAGCACCTTTGTTATAAAAGACAAGCACAAGCGTGCTGCTTTTCCTTTCTCCGCTCATAGCCTTGACTGCTGTCAGCTCAGAGGTCTACATTTGCAAAAGGGTCTTACTACTGACTTCACTGATGTCATCAGTTTGAGAACTCGTGCTGAGTTGAATTATCCTTGTGAAAGAGGCTGGTGAGCTAATACATGCTTGTTGTGCTTTTAAATGACTAATTTCTTAAAAATTGCCACAACAGTTAGAAAACATGCATGGTCATTACATTTTAAAAGAAAGAATAAAAGCTCTCATGAGGGCAAACGAAAGTGCCCATTCGGCAACTACATTAGCCACCCTCTGCTGTTGGTTTGCCTGTTTCAGTTGTTTTGGTCTATAATTCTCATTGCAGAAACAGTTGTCAAAAGTCAGCTTGACTCTGCAGTGTTTTCTTTTTGGAGAAAAATATTTGTCTTCTGGCAAGCCACTACTGGAATCTCTCTCCCCATGATGACTAGAACTGATAATGAAGTGGGCATTTCTGTAACTCCAGTATGAAGTCGATCTACCTTGGTGTCTTAAAATAGTACAGGAGGAAAAAAGGAAGTTGTGGAAGTGGGGGAAAAAAAAAGGCATCTGTAGTCATTTAATTTGCATTGAGATAAAAAGATCAGTTACCACTAGGCTGGACTGGAATTTCTATTACTTTTTTTTTTTTTTTTTTACCTTGCTGAAGTAAAATTTGATGATTTTCCTAATTTTGCAGGCATTTTCATTTGCAAATACTTTTCCTGTTTAGCCCTATTGGGGTAAATGGCTTCCCTCTTTTCCTTGTGGTTATGTATCAGTAATGCTGTTTGTATGTTGAATAGTTACATTATTGCTGTTGAATAGTTACATTAATACTGTGAAGAAATAACATTACTCTTCTATACTAGTAAGGAAATTTCTGCATGTCTTAATGTTTGAAACAAACTTGATTGGGATCCATATTTCAGGTTATGTAATAGGCAGGATTTTTTTGTCATAACTCATGACTGAAGTACATTCAATTTAATCGGCTACTATAAGAAATAGCCAAACTTTAAGGATTTTTGAATCGTATTAATAATATGTTGTCTTGCTGTTCACTGAAGAACAATTTGGGATGTTCTGAAGTGATATGGATTGGTAGTGATCTCAGATTAAAAAGTGACATGTGCTCGTGCCATTAATATATGGAGACAGATTTTTGAGGAGGTAAAATCTGGGAGGGAAATGAGTTTGTCTGCTTTCTAAGAGCAATAGCATTCTTCAGAAGTGTTTGACAGGGTCTATTTCTCTCTCTGCTACTCCCCTGTTTTAACTTGCTGGAAGAAAGAAGGGAAGGAAACAAATTAGCTGAGGCATTTTAGGCCCCTGTGATGTGGTACTAATACAACACTAGACATTTGTGTAGCTGTCTAGAACTCAGCTGTGATTGTTTTTTATTTCTCCTAAATGCAGTTTGAATTAAAACTGGAGTGTGCTGTTTTCCTCCCTCTCTCTCCTGTTCAGGGGCACACACGGCTCAATCTGATACAGTAAAACTTAGACTGTGATTCTCTTAAAAGGAGGTACCTAAAAAGCCTGGATCCAGAAAACGTGAAAGTACAGCAGCACCCTTGGATGACAGTGGTACAGGAGTGAAAGAAGGGTGTGGGATGGCTGAGGTCCCCAGATACAGCAAGTATGTGACAACAAGTACATAAGCACTTCTGAAAAAAGCTAAGAGGAGGAAAGAATAGGACGGCAGCATGAAAACAGGAGGAGCAGAAAGGGAAGAAGTATAAAATTATGCAGAAGTTTGACAAAAAACCAAACGTGCAAACCTTACCTTAAAATATTTTTTGAAACTTTTCTTTTAATGAGCTCTGCAAACACTGTGCTGGGAAGCATTATTAGAGCTTAGCCTGAAGTAGGGATGTAGAAGCAGCAATGTAATATTTTTTTTTTTTTTTCCCTACTGTCCAGTTTGGCTTTCACTAGCTGCATCACAGTAAAGGGCAAGAAACCCTTTCTATGCAGTTCTTACGTTAGCAAAGTTCCTTTTTTTCAGTAGATAAATGTATGACCTGAAGTGTGAGCCTTTGTGCTTTTTAAAAATCTTCAGTCTTCTTAACTAGGGGTGTTAATGCAGTGTCTAGTTGGTTTTGAATCCTCATAAGCTTTTTGTCGAATTGGTATAGTGTGAAAACAAGCCCTATACAGTAATTTTGTACTGAGGCTAAAAAAAAATCACACACGCCTGCCAACTTTATTGTTTTTAAATTAATTGTCTCTGATTTAATTGAAAATCTCCTTGCTTTTTTTATTAAGGAAAACAACAACTATCTGGCCCCGGACAACTTTTCCCATGTTAGCAGTAAGTTGCAATATATCAACCCTGTCTTCTGTTATTTGTATTAAAGCAAATAGCCCCAATCTCTTGCTTTTCTCAGCTCGTGCAGAAGATTTTTGTGTGGTATTTGAGATGGGGTGCTGAGACCCGTTTGTGTTGATTAAGGTGCCCTCTGGAACGCCAGCGCGTTTGCGCGTACCTTTGTTTGAGAGGTGCTGTCCTTGACTTCAGCGTACAGCGCAGGTGGTCTGGGGGCTCGCTCGCTGATCTCCCTGCCTTTGGAAGGAAGGAAGCAAGCTCTCTGGATGCTACCACATCTCTTGCGGTGGCAGTTGATTTCCCCTCTAATGAACCAGCGGGCTGGCTGACATCCCGTGCTTGCATACCCACGTTAATAAATTCCTCGCACAACTGTATCCCGGCTAGTGCCTGGTAATTCTTTTAAGCCTGTTGAGTCTGATGGCATTCACAGAGCATCTTTTCCCTGCTTCAGCTTTAGTAACATAGTTTAGAGACTGTCCCTGGGGGGTTTGTGTGTGATTTGCCCCCCCCCTTTTTTTTTTTTTATTTAAAGCAGAGCAGGACTGGGGGGTACGTTGTGATGCTAGGTTTCCCCTATTGTTTTTAAGGATTTTTTTTTTTTGTCTTTTCTGAGCAGCCCTAATGCATATCAGTTTGACTAGTGGTAGGTTGTTATAGGATACTGGTGTGAGTCACAGTTGTGCCATGGGTTGATTTGCATGCAGGGTTTTCGTTCATTGCTTCCATTTTGATGCTTCTATGCCATCCATTTTATTTTTGCCAGGTTAGACTTATTTTTCTGAGCTGTTGAACAAAGCACAGATTACATATCCTCTGTGGATTGTGTAAGAATTATGGAGCATGTAATCATTTAATCTATCATGGAAGTACACAGAAAGAAATTATTTCTATTTTATCTTTTTTTATAGAGAATGCCCTTTAGGAGTACTTTATCATAATTATGTGCACAGTTTCTTATGTGGCTGTAGTTGACAAAACTTCTTTTGTTTCTGAAAGATTCACTTTTTCCGGTGTTGTGTGTCTGCAATTTGTTCAGTAATTTTTGGGAGTATAAGTAAATTCACTTAAGCTTTCAGGAAAATCCAGTAGTTACTTTAGAGTTTATTTTTAGTATCTTTAATTCTCACATGGTTAGCTTTTATTTTTTACAATTTCCTGTTTACAATTTTATGAACAGCTTCTATTACCTGGGAAATAGTAGACTTGCTGAATGCACCATTGGAGTGAAGTGCAGAGCTGGTTAAGTTAATTGTTTTAAAGGTGTATTTTCATGCATATTACCTGATGCAGAATAGGTATTGAAGTGCTTTCATTCAGGGCCGATGTAACTTGTTATTGGGGTTTGCAATTACTAACAAACAGGATTAATTATAGGTGCTGCATGTGCTTGGCTTTTAAGCAGCAGTCCTACTAAGAGTGCATTACATTTGGTCAATTAAACAATGTAGTGGAGGTGAAGGCGGTTTATGCAGTTGTTTGTTAGTAACACTACAGCAAGTTGCCTTTCATGCTGGGTTGCTCTTTATCACATCTGCCATATATTTTTCCTTATAATAGCTCAGTGAGTTGTAAGATGATGTATGAAAAACAAACGCTAAAGCTTATTTCATCCCAAAGCAGTGGAGTCATTGCCTGGATACAGCAGAGGTAATTTGGCGTTACAAATACTAGTTGGGATGAAATAAATTTGAGTCAACAAGTTATTACTATTTTGTAGGATTCTAAATTATGTGAATGAATAAACTTGTATTAAAAACCTGCAGAAGATTGTGTACAAGCCATGTCACTTGTTCAGGGGAGCAGAAAAATGGGAGAAAATGGGATCTCTGTGTTTTTAAATATAGTCCAAGTAAAATATGCTGGTAGGACATTACATATAAAAGTGCATAATTTGCAAAGTAATACCTGTTGACTTGTGATGGGGTTATTTTGGCCTTCAATTTTATGTAATGAATTTGTTCACATTTAGGCATGGTTTGGAAGAGAAATTAAAAGTGTATTATCACTTCAAGAGGATGACTTGTCAGCAGAAGGAGACAAGGAAGAAGAATACAACAAGCAGGTAATGTCAAAGAAGGGGGGGGAAATGTATTTTATTACATTGATGTGCTTTTCTCTGAGCGGCTGCATGGAGAGGCAGGCATTACTAAGCAGACTTTGCATGGGGATTTTTGTTGTGGTATTTGTAGTGTGAAATACTGTTTAGTGTCTGAGTGAAGTAGAACAACCTGGGTAAAAACTGCAATTATTTCAACCAAAGAACAAGAATTAAAAAAGGGGGGGGGAGAACTCTAACTGTTTATATTCATCTTCCTGTGCCAAATAGTGTGAAAATAGTCTTGACCGAGGAGGAAATATTCTTAATGAATGGTATTTCTAAAAATGCAGCAGTCAATTCATACGGTGTATTTATAATTTTGTGCATTTTGACCTTTTCTCAGAAGAGCAAAAAGAGATTGGATATCTGAGTAACAGACAAAAAGACTGACAAGGAATACTTAAATATATTCTGCTATATATCTGCAGTAATGCAGGCTTCTAATCCCTCCTCCTATCTCCATATAAATGATACAGTTCAAGACCATAGCTGTTTTCTTCACTAAAAGCAGTAAAGCTCTTTTAGATGAAATGTCTAAAAACATCTTGTAATAACTTGGAGCATGCTGGCAAGAGTAGTCACTTGTGACTATGTGTGAAACCCCCTCAGCTAGTCGATATTGTAATAAGCAAAAATGGTAGCATCACTCCATTATTCAGAAAAGCCAACAGCATGCTTGTCCCTTAGGCTACAGCATTCATTAAGAAAAGCTTACTGGGCTGAAAGCTGGAAACAGATGATAACGGGATATGATTTTCATATTTAATGCATTCCTTGGAAGAGTATGTGTGCTGCAGATTGATAGAAGAATCAACTGCTACTTTACTAAAAGACTTTCTAGTTTGCCCTATAGCTACCGATGGAATCATTCAGCCAAGAAATTAACTTTTTCTCCTTTTACCTGCTTTATATATCTGCTAAGCAGGCTGCCTGGCTGCCAGTAAATGTTATTATGCAGTTAAATGTTTGGTATTTAAGACTCTTATCAGAAAAGAAACAGAGGCCACACTATTTTGTTTTTATAGTAGGAGGAAGGTTTTCGGTTTTCTTTTTTCAGTGCATTAGCAGTCGTTAATCTGAGTTTATAGGAAGTTTTCCCCATAGATTAAAAAGTTAAAAACCTTGAATTTAGAGCATTCTTTAAACTGCAATATACAAAGCAATGAACTCGAGCAACCTTGACCTGTATAAGCAGACCTCCAGCAGTTTGTGAATTATGTTTTTAATTCAGATGGATGTGAAAAGGTGAGTTTATTTTTGAATGCTAGGTTTGTCAATTAAAAGCAGTTGATGTAGGAGATGTGATTTCTAATCTGTGGAAAAGTTTACATAAATAATAGAACATCAAAGGCTTACAATGTGACTTAAATTTTTAAAACCTGTTAGCAGGCTTTGGACAGTACAAGAACTTACCCAAACATGTCACTTTATGTTGAGTTATGGTTAATAGCTTGACTGGGGACTCTGCCATCCTCTGTCCCCTTCTTTCTCCTTCGTATCTTCCTCCTCAAATGCAATGGTAACATCAACTAAATTGTGTATCCTTTTGCCTTGTCTGTGCGCTGTATCCCAGATCTTACTCTGCAACTCCATTTTTTTCAGACTGTTTGTGCCTGTTTCCCACCACCTTCACCTCACTTAATATCTGCTTATTCTTATGTCCGAATTATGAGAGTTTGTTCTCAGTGGTATGGCACCAAGTCAGTCCTAGCAAGCATGCTCAGTTAGCATGTTGTATATCCAGGATGCAAATCATCACAGCTTGGAACTGGTTTTATTTACCAGTATTACTGATATTGTAATGGTTTCCTTCAGGCTAGTCAGGATGCCAGTGATCGTGTGGTAACTTCGTCAGTGATGCATCTTGGAGATCGAGAAGGACAATCACAGAGGCAATCTTCTAGAGATGATCAGTATCCCAATGCCCCTAAAACACCAGTGTGAATATCTGGTACTTCTCTGAGCCATGGGATGTGCACCCTTTTGGACTCTCTAATTTTTATGGGAGTCGTTAAGCTCAGAAATTACATACCCAAATAGTGTTTGTCTAGAAAACCATCAATTTCCATGGAAAGGACTTGAGCACCAGTCTTTTGAAGCCCAGTGTAACAGCAATCCGGTGTTAGAAGTTGGAGGAGAGGTCCTGTACTGAAGAGATCCTTCTCAGCTGGCAGAGCTGTATAACCTGGGCTTCTGAAACCTTTATGCAATGCAACCTGTCATCTTCAACTTCGAAGCACTGTCTTGAAGGCTTTTGAAGATTTCGGACTTGTGCATCTTACCACTGCCATGTCTGTTGGACGTAGGGCATAGGGCACCTCCAGGAGCACCTGTGGGTGGCAGAGCCTCCGTCCCTGAGAAGGAGGGTGTCTCCAGGTGAGAGTAATGCCTGGCGCCTGGAAAAGACAAGCCTCTGGCTTGCCTTTGCTTCCCTGGCTTTCATGTGGTCATCTGCTGCCGGGGGAGACCGCACCACTTTGTAAGTCCTAATGGAAGGGATTTTTTCTTATCTTTGCTCTCTTCAAAACACTTCAATGATAATAAAAAAAGATTGTATTCGTTACTGGAGGAAGAAGTGAGGAGCCTGCATTCCACAACCAAAAAAAGGATTGTAAGCGTGCTTTGTGCAGAGACTTCATTTAACTCCCAGCTGGAGTGACGTGAAATCCAGTGATGTTGACTGTTTTAGGTAAATCATCTACACGTATTTACTGGTTTGTTTCTGGTGGTAAAACCAGTACCGAGACGAATGTCATCTGTCATAGTTTTGCTCTGAGAATGCAAAGGCGGTGAAGAGATTTTTTTTTTTTTTTTTTTTTTTTTTTGTTT